CCACCATCAGGCATACATGTAGGACCGCAGGGGTCTATCATTAATGCTAATGGCAGGCGGGTGGAAAATCCTGACAATTTCATTTACCCTATCAAGGTAAGGACAAGACAAGATGAAATGACTTCTCCACTAATATCCCAGCTTTGGCCCAAGTCTTAATCTCTACCATCAAGTACAAAGTAGATAGCATCATCTTATCCCTGGGCTTACTAAATTTTTTCCTGTACAAACATCCTGCTTGGTAGCTTAAAATCTGTAATAGCTTCATTTGTAATAGCAAAAGACTAAAATAGTCATTTGGATAGAACTCTAGATGAATAAATCACTATAGTAAAGTACTAAAATGTTGATCAAATATCAATAAAAAAATTCTGCTGTGTGCTGTTAATTAGAAATATTTTGGAAATATAAGAACTTAGTGATTGGGGTTGAGTGCAGCTCTGTGAAGATGTTCGCAGCCTCTGTAGCATGGGTTCGATTCCCGGCTGGCCAGGGAGATACCCCCATGGCGCGACAGACCTCTCCAGTCTCTCCTGCTGCTCCCCTCAGCAGTGCTTTTGGTCCATCTGCCTGTTCTGGCCCCTTCTGTCTCTAGTGAATCCTCTCAGCCTCCCATACCTCTGGCCTGTACCCCCACTCTTGTATAAATAAAATAAATCTTTAAAAAAGAAAAGGAACTTAGTGATTGAAAGTAAAATGGTAGAACAAGGTATATAAAGAAAACACAGAAGAAATGGGGTAAACATTAATTTAGGGAAAATTAACAAAAAATATGAGATTAAAAAATCATAGCATATTAATGATGGTTAACTTCATCAGGAAGATAAAATATTTCTAAAAGAATATACACCTAAAACTATAGATTAGAAATTTATTAAGCAAGATTTAACAGAATCCAAAAAGTGGAGAAATCTTCTAGCATAATAGATTTAAAATAGCATACTTAACAATTGCTACATCAAACAGAAAATTATAAGGATTGTGGTAAAAATGGCCACTTTCACCCTGGTATCTGAGGTTATTTTTCTTTCTTTAAAAAGGTATTTGGCTACCTAAAGTAAAGACTATTATTCCCAATTTTCCTGACTCCCAGATGTGATCAAGTGACCAAGTTCTTGCTAAAGAAAGTGTGAAGAAGTGGTAAGTACACCTTCTGGATCATGCCCTTAGAAAGAGAATAGGAGATGTCTAGGTCTGTCTTCTATCTAGCTGGTGGGAATGAAAATGTGAAGATAGGAACTAGAGATTAACCATGAGGTGGAGGTCATGTGTTGAGAAGGAGAGCAACAAAATAAAAGGGATGTGGTGCTGGACTCTAAACAGGTAAGATTGCTTATGTGACAACTGTTCTGTAAAAGCAAAGTAAATGCTATCTGGTTTAAGACACTATTATTTTGGGGTTTTGATCTGTCTTGATAAGAATGAACACAAAGTTATTCCCTGGAAGTCTAGGAACAGACCTAGCTGACATTTATTTGGAAGGTGCATGTCAAGATCTGCGAACGCACAAGGCAAACTGGAAATATAAGGGTTAATGACACATCATTTGATAAATCTCTCTCCTCAGCTATTCTGGCAGGTTTTCCACATGCTGACAAGGCATTCCCTCTTAATTACTTTGTTGTGAATGACTTCCAGATAGAGAACTGATCAGGAAGATTTGAAAACTAACCATCCTGAGCTTCTTAAAAATAAAAGTGTGAAAAAAAAATTAAACCTCAACTAAAGTATTTAAAAAAGAGAGAGAAAAGATACAGTTGATTAGAATAAATGATGGATTATGAGAGTAAAAAAATAGCATGCAGCTCAGAGATAAAAATAGGCATAAACACTAAGACAGTTTTGGAAACAAAGTAGAATGAAAGAGTTAGTTAAATTAGAATTTTTGGAAGAGGCAATTTAAGTAAGAAAAAGCAACATAAAAATGGCTAAGAATTTCCTTAAGTTGATGCAACAACTCAAATGTCACATTTAGGGAGCACAATTAATCCCAAGCAATATAAGTAAAGATAAATTCCCACATGGACACATTGAATATAGCTGAGCAGAGCAACAAAGACAGGAAGAACATCTTAAAAGCAACTAGAAAAAAAAGATAGATTGTCCATAATGTAGATATAATTAGATTGGCAGCTAGTTTCTTAAAAACAGTAATGAAAGCCAGAAAAATGGAGTAATATGCAATGGAAGTGATCTTCTAAGAATGGAAATGACACATACTCTCAAAAAATACAAAACCAAGAGGATTTATCATAAAAAGATCACTGAGCAAGCAAGTAAAAAGATCACTGATCACTACCTCTTACTGCACAGTAAGAGGAAGGTAAATAATTCTTGTACTGAAAAGGGCTTCTCAAGAAGGATATTGGAACTTTACTGAATTAGGACACTAGTGAGCCTCAGGGCCAGGTCTAAGGAAAGCTCTGTTTCTTTCTTTCAAGCTCTGTTTTCATTTACATATACAAGATTTTGCCAACAGGTTAAAAATCTTCCATCAGTAATACCTTTTTCTGCTTTCCAGGCAACACACTTAAAAAAAAAAAAAAAAAACTAACAATTTACTTAAATGTTACTATCTGGGTGAATTTTATGTTTTTGTAGTCCAAGGGACTTGCTTTTTGCTAACAAGTACATTTTGGGAACAGCTTGCTCTATCTGAATCAGAAAGCAGAGTAAAGCAGCAGTTAGATCAGCAGGATGAACAAATGTTGTAAATGGAAGAAAACACAGACAGATGGTTGAATCTGTATTAAATCACACTGAACTATTATGAAGGCAAGTAAGGGCATTAATTGTTCAAAGCATGCCCATGGTTAAATGGAGAGTTATTCAATATTTGCATTTGATCTTCTGATACCCTATACAGAAGTCCCACCAATATACATGCATGATGTCCTGAAAGATATGAAAGGATTTGGCATTTTACCCCCAAACCCATCATAGTTTCACATTTCAAGAGACGAGTCTTCAGTCCCCATGGGTGTTTTTGCTTGATGGCTTTTCCATTGACCAAAAGATGGGAGACATAAGAAATTTGAAGAGATTTGCTTACTGAAAAGTGAAGTCCTCATTACTTCAGTTGGTACCAAACGGCCTTCAATAATTGTCATCAAAATATGGTTACATTTTGCCTTTCACAGGCAAAATGTGAAAGGCAAAATTGTGAAGAGGTTAGTGATTTCTCCCACCTTTATGAATGAGAGTAAAATACTAATTGGTACATTACCCTGGCAAACTTCTTAACATCTACTATACCAAGATGTCATGGTAACATATTTTGGGACAATTTTCTAGCCATTTGGGGGGAAAAAAATTAGATCACTATCCCAGACCATAGACACAGAGAGTAAGATTCATGATTAATTATAAAATTAAAAATAAAAGTAAAAACATTCAGAATGAACAGTGATAGAATAATATTTTATTATTCTCTATATATGACTTTTTAGAATGAAACAAAATTGAGTAAAGCATTTTAAAATATTGAAAAATCCACTACATGAAATTGAAGCTTCTATTCAGTGAAAAACACAATAAGCAAAGTTAAAGTGACAAATGAAAACTGGGAAAAAGTTGCAACATATATATAATGGACAAATAAAGCCAGTATAGATTGTATTTAAGAACACAGGCTCAGGAATGAAATTACATGCATTCAAACACTAGCTACACCATATTCTAATCTTTTGACTTTAGGCAACATGCTTAACCTCTTTGGGTTTCCCATTTTTAATCTACAAAATGAAGATAATAAAATCTATTTATCTATGTTAGCTAGGAGTCATTATTATTGCCCATAATATATACATGGTTAATCAAATCAACAAGAAAAAGGCAACCAATCCACTAGATGCCCAGCATCAATAAAAACTTGTTACCTTTTCCACCTTATTTTAACAACTTCTTGGCACAATTTCAGTATTTCAAACTTTCCTAGTCCATGTCTGTCTGTCTGTCTGTCTCTCTTTCCATTTTATTTTATTTTTTTAAGATATATTTATTTATTTATTTATCTATTTATTTATTTATTTATTTGTTTTTTATAGAGGCATGCTTTATTTGTTTGCTGGTTTGTTTGTTTTGTTTATACATACACTGGGTACAGTCAGAAGTGCAGGAGGGTGAGAGAATTCACCAGAGCCAGAGCGGGGACCAGAGGAGGCAGAAGGACCGAAGGACACTGCTGAGGGGAGCAGTGGGCGTCAGGAGAGGTCTGCGCGCCATGTGGGACCCTCCTCCGGTGGCCGGGGAGCAGCCGGGGATCGAAACGGCGCCGCAGAGGCCGCGGGCAGTTTCGCAACCCAGCTCTCAACCGCTGCGCCACCGGGGAGGCCCATATATTTATTTATTTATACAAGCACTGGGTACAGTCAGAAGCACGGGAGGGTGAGAGAATTCATCAGTGCCAGAGCAGGGAGCAGAACAGACAGACTGACGAAATACACTGCTGAGGGGAGCAGCGGGCGGCAGGAGAGATCTGCACACCATGTGGGATCCTCTCTGGTGGCCAGGGATCGAACAGGTTCTACAGAGGCTGCGGGCAGCTTTGCAGCCCAGTGCTCAACCGCTGTGCCACTAGGGGAGGCCCTCTCCATTTTAAACAAGAAATTTATTTATACTTGACTTGAAGGGGAAATGAGTTCATTTCTTTTAGAATAATTTATCCCTACTTAAAGACAGATTGCTCTACATGTAATAGCTACATACAAAAATGTTATAAAATTGTCCTTGGTTTTATAATGATAAATGAAAAACATTAAAATTCTTCAGTTAAACAAGGTATGCAAGAATTTTTATGTTGTTCCCTCTTTTCTGTTAGTGAGAGCAAAATAACATATTGGAATATAAAGATAACTGAAGGAGCATAGCACTAATGGAAAAAAGGGGGTATTTTTACAGAATCAATATTTTCCCCCATCCCATCTCCATTTGATGTCAATGTCAAATTACCATTGGCCATTTTGTTAAAAAAATCAATATGCTTCTGCATATATGCCAGTTATTCATGTACAGTAAAGGAATGTGGAAGGAGAAAATGAAAGAATAGAGAAAATTGCGCCATAGGACTTGGGATTTATGGAACTGAATTGCAGGCTTTCTAACTGAGAATTTCTTCTTGATCAGGAAGAACAGAGTTCTGGAGTAAAGTAGTAGGTTCCCTCTTTAGTAAACACCCCCTGTGTACTGCTGCAGGAACCCATCAATTGTATCTTCATCCCCCATTTCTAATGGTGCACGTATGTCTGTTTCATTGATTGGCAGCTCATCAAATCTGAGTGTGAAATGCCTCACTGACAAATCCTGTGGCTTACAACAGGATTTCATTAGTTTACTAAGAGGTGTGCACCTCCTAATCTTAAGCTGCACCACAGAACCATCCTGACCCACCACCTTCAAATTAATATGCTCATTGTTCTCAGTCTTGGTTCCTTCCTTGGGCATTTCATCAACCATGAGGAGCGCCAGAGTCTCTTCGGCTGCTGCTACACCAAAGAGCTACCAGCTCCACCAAATGCACACACAAGCAGCTCTATAGTCTCTTTAAATTGACTTTATAATTCTTTGTCCCAAACTTTATTGTCATTGATACCTCATTCTGAAAATTCTCCATCCAGTCTTTGCAAGGAAAATACTGCTCATATTTTAAATCCTAACTTCATAGAGTTTCAATGTACTAATTAGTCTGCCAAATGGTGCATTCTTACTCATTCTGAAATGGTGCATTCTTACTTATTCTGAAATTATAGTGCCTATACTACTACTTTCTGTACAAAATCAATCCTGGGTTTGTCCTTTTAGTATAATGTGTTACATGTTATAGAATTTTATAGATTTTGACAGGCTAAGATATAGTCTACTTCTATATCTTCACAGTGCATACAAGTACTCATTTACAAATGTTTATTTTTTATGTTTGTTTTCCATAATTTAGATCTGCTTCAGGGCAATTAGTGAAAAGATACATGGAATCCTCACACTCAATGTGTGTACCCCATCCCTATGCATATATAGAGAAAGAAATAAGTATTTTTCAAACAGTACATAGTACCTTTCTTTACTTACATTTAACAATAAATACATGAGATATGATCTGAGCTGTTTTGAAAGGCTTCCATATAAAGTTTAGACTGAAGCAAGAATGAGTAGAAGAATGAAGGAGACAATTTGAGTGATATAGGTGAGAGAGGATGACGGTTTGAGAAGGATGGTAGCAGAGAAGGTTGAGAGAGGGAATCAAATTTTGGATACATTTTGAAGGTAGAGGCAGTGAATTAATTTGCCTGAGAGAAAGGGCTGGAGGATGATTCTACTCCTGCTATATAGCAGATCTCAGAGAGTAACCTGTCCAGCTATGAGCAGGAGAGTAGAGGACTGCCAAGCAATGGTTTCCAAATCGAACGGGCAGAATATTTGGCATGGACATTTGAAAGTTATATTATTAGGCACATAACAGATATAATGGAGCAAGTAAAAAAATAAAGGTAGATAGAAAATTAAGAAACAAATCAGGTAATTATTAGTCTTGAGAAAAAATGAGTTTGTACAAAAAAGTATATGAGCATAGATTTACCTTAGTTTTACAGGAAACAATATTTTTTATGAGATTAACAATGTAAAAACAGACCAATTGATTTAGAAAAAAATTTGTGATATAACTACCAGAGGTATGAGTGCAGGGGAGAAACTGAGAAAAACTAAAGATGTCCTCTTTTACTATAATAGCAAATCAATTGATGAAGTAGAAAATTATCAAATCAAGAAATAGGATTATAAACAGTTCAGTTGATGTGGTGATAAATACAGAGGAAATCACTAAAATTAGTGGAAAATATAGGCTATAGGGTAAGGATTCTTAAGTTTTAACAAGAGGAAGACTCACATTTTACTGGAACTTACCCCCAGAGATCCTGATTGAATAGGTGAGGGTGGATCACCCATAAATCTGTATTTTTAACTAGTTCACTGATAATGCCAAAGCTGTTGGTCCGAGGTCCAGATTTTGAGAAGTACTATAGAAAGCAGAATGAAAGTTTGCGTTAGAGGAGAAAAAAATAAAAACAACTTTTGTCATTATATTTATTTATTTTTTAAATTTTTTAAAGATTTATTTATTTATTTATACAAGAATCTGGGTATAGGCCAGATGCACGGGAGGGTGAGAGGATTCACCAGAGACAGAGCAGGGAGCAGAACAGGCACTCTGATGAAATACACTGCTGAGGGGAGCAGCGGGCAAGACAGGAGAGGTCTGCCCCACCATGTGGGTTGCTCCGCGGCCGGCGGGGATGAACTGGCACTGCAGAGGCTGCGGACAGCTTCACAGCACAGCGCTCAACCACCTGTGCCACCAGGGGAGGCCCTCATTATATTCATTTTAGTGCAGCTATCCTCGAACTTAGCATCGATGCTCGTTGGAATCACCCAAGGAGATTTAAAACCCATCTCCAGAACGGTGATGTGATTGATCTGGGGTACAGTCTGAGGTTGTAACAACTCTCCAGGTGATTTCAATGTGAGATTAAGATGGAGAATCACTTTTTAGTACAATTTTATTTTTAACTACATGCATAAATTACTTTGATTTTTAATATAAGTTTACCATCTGTAGAATGTGCATGGGAGTAGGAAGAATGCAAAACTAAAAGTTAGGTGAGGGATTATGTCTGTCTGGTGCGATCCTTTGTCATGAGCCAGCTTTGTCCTTGGGAAAGTCACCAAATCTCTGTGGGCTTTAGTGAACTCATATGTAAATCGGATACTGGACTAGTTATTCTCAAATACTCTTTCCAACTTCATGTTGTAGGACTGTATTGCCCTATGTTATAAATCTGAAATTTCAAAAAGTATTCAAGTTCACTGGATACTTATGACAGTGTTTAGTATGATATTAACAATGACTATTATCATTTAGGAAACTAATAAATATTTCCATTATGTCTTTAACTAATATCAGTTTTCATATATATATGTATATATATATATATATATATAAAATTTCCCAATTACTTATTTATTGTACTCAGTACAATCAATTCACCCTGAGAAATAAAGGTGAAAACAGTTGAGATGACTTTATTCTTGATGGCGGAGCAGAGCATTGACGTCATTTCTCCAAAACATCATCTGCTAAATTGTATCCAAGGCTATAACAAAATAATCCACCCTTGAGTTACTGGGAGTTAATTTCCTAATAGTGATCATGAACAAACCCTGATATTTCTGCTGGTTGCATATCTCCTTCTACAAGCAGCACCTACTTGTAAGATGTCTGCCCCTGGCTAATTTTCAGGATGCAGTATGTGGTTGTAAATTCAGACAAAACAAAGTAATTGATTAAAGTGGTAGTTAAGCTCCTTAGTGACTTTACATTCCTGGAAGGTCTTATCTTGATTACTCTAGAAGCTTAGTATAATTGTGCTGTCAATTCTCAATCATGAATAGTAACAGGGGGGAGATTTGCAGAATGAGGATTGATATAGATAACCCAGGGATTTTATATTGATTTTAGAATGTATTATATAGAGGGAACCTCTAATATGCCTTCATAATTATGTTTTCTTTAGAATAATTTAAAATCAGCTTTTGTTTCTTGAATCAATAGAGATAATTGTTATTATGTAATTAGTCTGAAAAAAATCAGTTGCCCATAACTACAGATAGATTGTGAAGAGTAAGCTGTTTACATAAATGATCTGGTCTGTATGCACATGTGTTTGCCCATAACTTTGACCTCCTATCATTTATGGAACTTTTTTGCCCAGAGGAAAATCAGAAACCATAGTAATCCAGCGCTGAAACAACAGTGAATTCTAAAATGAAACCAGGTCAGAACAATATGCCATAATTGTACAGGTGGTTAAAAATGAACTGAGAAGTCACCATCTGGTGGGAGGCATCTTAGGGAAGCAGCTACCTTCTATTGGACATAAATAGAATGCTAGCTTGCTGAGCTATTTATTCTTAGATGGTTGCTATCATGTTTTGCTCTCCCACTGAAATGTGCCCATCTTAGGATCTCATGCTTTTAGAATGGAAGCTCGTAGCTAACTCTGAGCTAGTCTAATCAATTATTTTGTGTTACTTTAGACATTGTAGGAGATGATGCCCTCTCTCAGCCCCTTAGTCCACCTTAACTTTCCAGGTAAAATATGGATGTGTTATTAGAAGTTAGTGCCCTTTTTTCTACTATACTAGAAAGACAAATTGAGAAATTTCAGGTAAGCTGAGAAATTTCAGGTAAGCTGAGAGAGCTGCTCAGCACCAAGAAGACAGACTGGTGGGCTAACAGGATCTTGTAATCACTGCAATCACAGGATCTATGTATAAGGACTAAAAATTACACATCTACTTTTAGAAAGCAGTTTATATGGGAGTGGAGATACCAGCTCTGTTTTCTTGCAGAAAAACATTGAATGTCGTTCAAAATCACTTGAAACACATTTAAATAATATTAAAAAGTAAAGTGCATCATACAACAATGCTAACTCATATTTGAATAGTGTTTTACAAGTGCATACACAAAAGTTATCTTATTCTCCTTAAAGGCATGTTAGATAGGTAAAGTAAGTAAAATCCCTATTTTACACATGAAGAAACTGAGATTTGAAGAGATTAAATGGAGCACCAGCAATGGTGGATTAGCTAGTACGTGGTGAAAAGAGGGAGGGAAAGGACATGCATTCAGTTGACTGTAACAACTACTATTGTTGAACACATTATGTTCCAGTCATATGCTAAGCATTTGCAAAGAAATTAGTGCATTATAAAAATATTACAATGTTTGTGCGTTTTCCCCTTTGTTTTAGTTTTCTTTCATAATTGAATTTCTTTCTTTTCCTCCTATTATATTTAATTTCTCGCACAGATGTAGTCCCCATAGTTAAAAAATTAGTTTCTTAAAGTCCACAGATGAATATCTACTAACAAGGGAAATAAAAAATAGATGCACAAAATTTAATTCAGCAAACATTTTAGAGTAGACAATGATGATGATAACCACCATTTACTGAACAGTTACTATTTGTCAGACACTGAGCCCAGCATTTAGATTTATGCCCTCTCTCACTTCTATTTATTTATTATTATGGGAATAGCACAGTTTGTTCATTTATCAGTACTTAACCATTTGAATTATATCCACTTTTATCAAAAAAAGATTTATTTATTTATGCATACAAGAACTGGGGTACAGACCAGAGGTGTGGCGGTGGTAAGAGGATTCACCAGAGACAGAGCAGGGAACAGAACAGGCAGACTGACTGAAACACACCGCTGAGGGGCGCAGTGGGCGAGACAGGAGAGGTCTGCTGCGCCATGTGGGTCAGCTCCCTGGCCAGGGATCGAACTTGTTCTGCAGTGTCTGCCAATAGCTTGATAGCTCTGTCTTTAACCCCTGCACCACCAGGGAGGCCCTGATTTATACCCACTTTGTTGGCCTATTATGAATAATGCTGTTATAAACATTTGTACAGTTTTTTTAAGACATGTTTTCATCTTTTCTCTGACATATCCTAAAAGAGTAGCATTTATGGATCATATGATAACTGTATATTTAACAATTTGAAGAACTGCCAAACTGTTCTTTAACAAGCTCTGTTTTCTTTTTTTACTACTATTGCCACCTCTTATTCTTTCTCCCTACCTCCTCCCTCTTAAACTCACAGACCTTACTTCATTCATTAATGTCTGTTAGTTTTATAAGCATTTTGCTTTGTCAAATCACCCATTATGTAAATGACCAATATTTGTCTTTGTCACTCTAACTTGCATCACTACATATAATTCTTTCAAACTCTTTCCATTTTGCTGTAAAAGGCAACATTTCTTCTTACCTTCTGGCTGAATAGTATGCCACAGTGTGGATATTTGACATCTTATTGATCCAATTCTACCATTTGGAATTGGATTTGTGCCCATGTCCTGGCTATTGCAAATAGTGCTGCAATAAATACTGTGGAGTATATAGCTTTTTCAGTTGATGTTTTATGTTC